AAGAATTCAGAAATAAGAACAAGAGAATGGAAGAGAAAGGAGCTGGCATAATGTTTGTGCTGAAAAGCTAATCGCCAGATGGAAGACAAATTACATGTCAGTTACAAGCTTTTGTGATGCAGTGCTAAAGTCAAAGTATTTTTAAAAATTTGAAAGATGAAACAGTTTGGACAGCAGGTATAATAGTTGGTTTTCTGATGGGATAGCATCCCACATCACCTTGAACACATCACGAAGACATTAGCACAGGGAATACTGCCTCCCCCAGAATAGAACGAGACAGCTGTACACACAACCAAAAAAGGGGTAAAAAACCTGCAATGTAGAGCCATGTAAAACAAACAGCCTCCCAACAGGTGTTCAAAAATAAATGGTTCCTCAAAGAAAAATGTGTGTTTCCTCCATACTTTAATAACCTAGTGCGGCTGGGGAATTTTGAATCAATTTCCATCATGCTAAACTTGAAGTGATTGGATGGGGTACATCGCAATGTAGTTGTACCATTAGTTTCATAGAAATAATTATGCTGTTACCAAATCAGAATATGACAATCATTTAAAAACTCATGATAAAAAATATACCTACTGTAGTATCGCATAGCATTCACAGTATAATCCACAACAATGGATGTGGATTAGCATTGTCATAAATTCTTTTTATGCTTTTTATTGTATGTTTCTCTTGAATTAGCGTCATGTAAAAAACTTTGGATAATTTCAGAGATGACATGAAATACAGTACCTTGAAGCCTTGTACGCTGCTGAACAAGATTTGTTTGTAACTGTGTTCTGTATTCACATCTCAGCACCTGACTGTCAAGAGAAGTGTGAAAATGACAACTTGTCATGTAGTAGAGCTTCAGTCACTTTCCTGAAAGAGGTCCCAAATGCTACGTGATCTTCTTACATGTAACACATGTAATGATACATTTTGGCATGCCTTTTTCAGCCAGAGGTGGCATCTGATAGTTGAGAATCATCAAGTGTTATGCCACCTGGAGACTGAATGGACCAGAGGTAGAGTGAAGGGAACTGGGGCTCAGAGACAAAGCAGCATGTCATGTGCATGATCTGCAACTGTAGTCCGAGAGCCCAGTTTTTAAACTCGTAAAGCTGTTTGGGGGGGAAATCTGGTAGAAAATGAGGAAGAGGAGGTTTACCCTGTCTCCTTCTCTATCCATTCACTCCCCACCCTCTGCAATGCATTTTCACCCTTAGCTATTTTAAAAGGAGTTGGAAATTTCATTAATATAAAAAGGCATTGTACTGGGCTAAGGAAAATGTGTTGGTGTTTTACCTTTATGGTATTTACTGAATATAAATTTATGTTACTTTTTCATAGCTCTTGAGTGTGACAGTGGAATTTCCTGGTTAATTGATGTATCTGTTCTCCCTCTTAAGATTCTGCTCCTTGAACTCCAACTGTTAATTGCACATGATGTTAGAAACTGGGACTTAAGGATGTCCCTTTTTATTTTGAAGAAAACGCATGTAGGTTGTGAGGAGAGGTTATCAAACAGTAAACAGTAGCCTTATTTCTCCCGCTAAAGAGCAGGAGGTCTTTTCTTTTACCCCATATCCCTTGCCTTTTGCAATACGTTGCCTGATAAAAGGATCTTGAAAGCTGGAACATCATTTTGACATAACAGGTGAGTTGCAGCACGAGCAACTAGAATGTTTATTCAGACTTTTACTGTGTTGTCTAGTATTATCCTTTAAAAAGTGTTGTCTTGAGAAATATATATGTACAAGTTTTGAGTTATAATGTGTTGGTCATGTCAGAATCCAGCTATGCAGAAAAAAGTGATATATATTAGGGAAGCCCCTTTTGGTATCCTCCACTGACTTTATCTTCATTTTTAGAAGGGCAGAGAGAAGAATCCTGCTTTGAACTCTCAGCACTGAGAAGATTGCAGTTTTTTTGTACACACAGGTGAACTATTTGTCGAAATGTTGTTCCCTATTACTGAAATGGAAACTTTGGTTGAAAACATTCCTCATCGTTATCCTTTCTTTGAAGGTAACCCAGTCCACCTTTAACCAGGCACAGGTAACCATTTACTTTATTTAGAGACATTGTTTTCCGGCTGTTTTTCAGGAGATTGTGCCATGATGGTCAGTGTTTATCAAGTGGCCATGATGTTTTGCATTTATTGAAGAATGTTCTTGGTGATGTTATGTTGCTGGTTATACAAAAGGCATTTGCTTTTGAAGAAATATTGGCATGCCTGGTGTTTTCATTGTACAAGGACAGTCTTTTGTTGCTTGGGATAGAGGTTAAGAGACACTGATTCATGTTACTATGCAAACTTGGGTGTTTCTGCCTAGGATGTGATGTAGCGTTTCTCTATTGCTGACAGCAGATTATTATAAATGCTGTTGATCTTCAAGCTGGTATATTGAACCAATAATGAAACTGTGCTGCTACCACAACTGCACTGTACTAGCAGCACTCCTATTATTTTCATGTTAAGATATAAAAAGAGAAGATTGGAGAAACTGAAAGCCAGGAGAAAAGCATGTATGTGAGCAGAGAGAGAGATAAACATGATGCAAAAATGGTTCCATGATGAAGGATTTCAGCTGAAAGTGGGTCCTTGGTTTGAAAAGGTGGAAAATCCACAGACAGAGTGATTAAGATCAAACCACAGATTCTCTGATTCAAATATTTTCCAGCCTGAGACCACATTTCTCCATCTTTCCCCATCATTTGCATTGTGGGAATGATAAATTTACTATAAAGTTGTTGGGAGAGGGCATGTTTTTGTTTGAACACCAAAAAAATATAACAGAGGATGTCAAAATCAGTGCTCTGATGAAGTCTAGAAGTTTTTTTCCTTTGGATAAAGATGGGCTTGTAGGATTCTTTTCCGTGGGGTAACATGGAAGACTATGCTTTCCTTTTATTTATTTTTTTCAAACAGCCTTAATGTTATCTGTGTTATGAAGCCTAACATCCAATATGTCCTCAAAATCTGTATTTTGCAGTAGTGCCACTCCAAACGTTGTGACCAATGTATTGCTTACAATTCATAATAAAATAACAGTGTAGCTAGTGGCTTGAACTCTGAGCTTCATGACCTACCTGGCTTGTTGGTGATGGGGAACAGCAGTGCTGCCTGATCCAGTTTTATTTCAAAGAGAAGAAATTTTGCATTTATAAACTTGGCCCTCTAGCAGCTCATGATCCGGACATAGAGGATAGTGCCCCACATCGTCAATCTACTTGTGAATCATGTGTCCTCTGTTCTGTATAACTGTCATCAGGCATACATAACTTTCATTCACCACAACTAAAAAAACCTGAAAGATGAAATGTTTTAACATTATATTCAAATATTTGATTTGTTAGAACTAAAATAAGTACATACACTTACTCACCTACAATACTAATCCTTGTTTGTTTCTAATAATTTTTTAATAATGGACTAATGGACCTAAATGGGAAGTTCATAGTAACTTTCCATTATCTACCCACATTAGGATATTATAACTCCTGTATAAAAAATATAGAAGCATCATTTAAAATACCATTTCCCTTGGTAAAGGGGGGGACAAAAAAGGTACTGTCATCCACATCCATATTGTAATATCTTTATAGTGATATTGAAGGAAATACTGTGCAAACTTGAAAATATAAATTTTTAATTAGCATATAAACTAAATGAGAAAAGGGCTAATAAAGAGCTAACAAAGAAAACATACTGATCACGTAGCTGACATTTAACATTATGTTTCTTTTCTAAAGATTTCTTCCCACAGTTAACTAGTAGTCACAAATTATTTCAACAAATTAATATATTTACCTTTTTGGGGGGTAAAACAGAGAGCATTAAGATCACCTTGGTCCATAGCTAAGGATATCTGTCTTGCTTGCCACAGTTGCCTAGCAGTTGGAAAGATTGTTGATAATTGTTACAATCATATGCATCTCAATATTAGGCATGGTTATGCAGATTTAACAGCCAGTGTGGTGTAGTGGACAGAGTGTTGGACTAGGGCTCAGGAGGCTTGTGTTCAAATCCCTGCTCAGTCATGGAATCTCACTGGGGGAGTAGAACTGGTAAAACCACTCCTTAAATATTGTACCTACCTGATAGGGCTTCTGTAAGTAAATTCCAGTTTCAGGACACAACAGCAGTGACAAATGCAGATTTAAGTCCCTTGCAAGTCAGTTTTTTCAGCATATTAACATATGATCACAGCCTTCAGCCATGAGACCTACGGAAGGGGTATTTTGTGTTTCTTTGCTGATGCAGCTTGCCACTTAAGACAGTCATTAACATTCCCAGCCTTACTGGCTAGCAAATGAGCAATGACCTTTCACATCTTGTCCTCTTGAAGAAACAGACAAAATCTGCAAGTAATTTCAACAGACTCCACAGCAAACGAAGTTAAGAGGGATGAAGAAATAATTGCTTGAGTCAGACAGGAATTCAAACCTAAAGATAAATAGCATCTCTGCTCTCACTCACTATTCAAGTAAATTACTTGAAGCCACATATTTGTTTCCAGAAATAGCATGACAAAATACAGAAATGTGTTACATTTCGTTTTAGTGTATCAGAAAAGAAATATGACTGCCTGAAACCAATGATGATAATCCTGTTCCACCTCATTTTTCCCCATGCTTTGACAATGTTCCTTGTATTTCATATAGTATTGCCATTTCTGTAAATCAAATAGAGAAAAACTTATAGTCCCAAAGCTTTAGATTGTTTTTTTGAAATGGTTTTCAAAGTACTCTTATTAATAGACTGCCCTCTCTTACGCACTCAGAGTTACATACCAGCATTGCTCAACTTGGTTTTAAAAGATGCACCTATTTATTTCTAGATTGCAAATTCGTTAAGTTGTAGTTTTTGGGGTTCAGGGGGCCCTTGAAGCTGCAGACATGTTCTTTAAGGATGCCATATTGAACATACAAGGTTAGAATTGAGACTGTCAGTTCAGGAGAGCGTTTTCCAATTGTTACAGACATCAGCAGTCTGAATTGCTGTTCAAATGCCAAGGAAATTAAGTAGTACAGCAGCATCACATATTGTGAGGAAGGTGACAGTGATGGTAAAGCTCCTGTCAGTGGTCTGTCATCCTTCTACCCAGGACTGGTTGAATTCAAAACTTTGAGCTCTCCAGTGGTCTTGGGAGAAACTGTGTTGGCCTATGGTTATACAGGGAAGGTTGAAAGCCCAGTAAATAGAGACATGGAAAGCAGTGGGAAACCTAGAAGAGGAAGGGAGAAAAAGGGAGAAGACTATAAAAGAGAAGGAGGTGGTAGGGAGAGGGGGAGAAGAAAGGAAGGAAGGAAGTTCAATGGAGGGAAAACCAGAGGAGGAAGAAAACTGGGGTGACACCTTGGAGGAACCGGGGGAAGAGATGTGTCTAGCCAAGGTAGAAAACCCTGGTAATGAAGAACCAGAAGGGGAATACATGTGGAAGGAGGGCCCATGGACTGGGACGATTATCTCCTTCAGGGAACTGAAGACTGAGGCAGAAAGACATAGTCCTCAAGAACCCAGAAAACCCTACTTATTGGGGTGGGAGAGAAACAGGAGAGGCAATTCTGGGCCCAGGAACACAGTTTTCTCAAATTTCCATGGTCAACTCTTGGACAGTACCTGGGAAAAGAGTTACTAAACTCCCCTTCCTTCAGCACCAGGGAAAGCAGGATCACCTATTCCCATTGAGGTTGTATAAACCATCTGCACAGCAGCATCCTTTGCCTAGCATATATAAAAGCCCAGATACAAGTGAGCAGGAATGAGAAACCCTGCTGCGGAGCTTGCCTGCAAACCCCTGAGGTCTCCAATGAGAAAAAGGACTTGGTTTTAACCTAAAAAGGATTAGAAGTTAGTTCTAGATTGTTGAAAGTTAATCTTGTTAGGAAGTTGTCTATGGTTTAGATTGTTTTAATAATATGAGGTCTCTTTGGAACAAAATACAGAAGACGGGGACCATAGAAGGGAGTCGAACATGTGCTATTTTTCAGATCAGAAGCATTCAAGTATCCCATTTGCTTATAGTATTTATTAATGATTTTCTGTTCCCTGTGGCTCCCAAAGCAGATACAAGTATCTTTTAAAATCCATTAAAACTAGTTTTTAAACTGAATTTCAAGGGGATAATACAGTTTTGGCTGCCTGGTGGAAGTTCAGCAAGGCTGGAACTGATCTGTCTTCCACTGGGAATGTGTTCCTTTAAAAAAAATGCTGGAAGCCTTAAATCCATCCATATTGAAGTACACCCATGGGTCTCGTAGAGAGATGAAACGCAGGAATGTTTTGGTTCAACCTTAGTTCTCCCGTATATACAACATCCATTAAGAATAGGTGAACCAGCCTTGTATTCGCGAAGGCTTTCACGGCCGGGATCTAATGGTTGCTGTGGGTTTTTCAGGCTCTTTGGCCGTGTTCTGAAGGTTGAACCAGCTTTGTCATGATAAAAAAGCTTCTGTTGTACCTTCTGTGACATCACCAGTTTTATACAAGACAAAACTTTCTTGAATTCTATTGCTACAATGATAACTGCATACATATTGGGCAACTGGGCTCACTCTATGCAGCTAGGATTGACTTGCTGACACATAAAGCAAAAAATCCACAAAGGGATGGTGACTGCAAATGTAAACACGAAGGACAGAAAAGATAAAAACAGCAGTGCACATGCATCCATGCAGAGTCTTAAAGTATGGAACAGATCTAAAATGAGAAGTCAAGTTAGCATGTAAGACCTGAGGATTTGTATTTTTCAGGTGTTGATTTAAGTTGGTTGATCTGTAGGGTAACCCAATGATATCAAAGAGAGAACAGAACAACTGTTTTTTAAACAGAACAATGGTTCTTCAAGCCCAGTAGCAAGTTTGAATAAGCACTGCACTCTACAAGTGTTGTAGGAAATAGCAAACTTTTCTGCAGCAGAAGGTGATAATTTATATATAAGGTAATTTATATATGACTTTAAAATATCCATGTATCAACAGGTGAGGAACCTGATCCAGCCACATTCCTAGACACAGGCACATGGCTTAAAATATACAAGACACCTTTACTTTCTCAGTAACATTAGTAGGGAACATGTTGCGCTTCAGATGTTGTTAGTGTTTAACTCACATCAGCCTTAGCCAGCATAGTAGTGAAGAATGAGGAAAACTATATAATTCAAAAGCATCTGGAGTGTCATATGCTCCCCATCCCTGTTCAACACATTTTGCTTGTATCATGCAGAACTTCCCTCATGCAATTTTGCCATCACCTGGTCTTGTGCACTCATGTCTAGTCATTCAAGTATGTACATCTGGGTGAACACAGGAAAAGGGTCTTTTATTCAACCTATATTCCAATAAGAATTGTATGTTGATGAGAAGTTATCAACAGTCATAAAAATAAAATAATCAAATGTGCAATTAACTGCAAAACTGAATGATTACTTGCACAGACAGTATTTAGAATGAAACAGCAAACATTTGAAAAATCTACAAGAGAGCAAGGGTATGAAAACGGAGAAACTTGAATCCGAAAATAGAGAGAAAAATGATGTGCATTCTGTAGACTTTCAAAACACAAGATGTTGAGATACAAATATTTGGCTACATGTAATATTAGTACTTCAGACAATTGGACAAAAGGGAAATAACTGATAGAGGTAGAACACAGATAGAACAGAAATTACTGACAGAACACATATTTCTAAGTGGAGACAACAGTGGATCTCTTTTTCAGAAGGATGTTGCGGATCCAGCAGTTGCCAAGGCAATAGAGTTGTCCTTCAGACATCTGTAATAAAGGAACTGGGGGTAGGCACATCCCTTCTAGGTCCCTTTAGTCTGCTGTGATACAAGCCTTTTTATACAAAGCTTAGAATTTTATTTTTAAAAAATCCCATCATCTTCCATCCAGCCTGATCATGCTATGCAGTGTTACCAAATTATGTGCCGTATAATCATAAAGCCCCCACCTTGCAGGGGTGGACAGTGTATATTGCTCAAATATAATTCCATTCAGCTATAGGTAACCAAGGAATGTTAGGAGCTACTGTTTAGTAACACTTGGAGGATCACCCTTCGCTCATCTCTGCTACTCTATTACAGTACCATTAATGGTGGGCAAGAGTGGCAGGACAGCAATCTTAAAATACAGTAATCTCCTTTAAACACTTTTTAAATGATTCAAGGGGGTATTTTAGGTATTAAAATGCAGTTGACAGTAAACACTTCCAAGACAATTCAATGGACGCCACTTGTGTAGAAATGTTACATTAGCAATAATAATAATGAGTCATCAATAAATTCCTACTTACAGCAACCCTTGCCAGGGTTTCGTAGTTACACAGTACAGTATTCAGAAAAGGTGTACTAATCCCTTCTTCAGAGGGAAAGGCTATTTTCCCCCCAGATGCAGAGCGGGGAATTCAACTCCTGGCCTCAGCTTTGCAACCAGATAGTACAACTCATGGAGCTCTGAATCACCCAGGAAACCATGGTCCCTCTCCCACCAAATTTTGCAATACTATACAGTACTTCAAAGCTTAGTTATTACAGTGGGGTCTTGACTTACGAACGGCTCGACATACGAACGTTTCGACTTACGAATAGCTCTCATAGGAATATATGGACTCGACTTACGAACTTAGATTCGAGTTACGACCTCTTTTTCCCCCTTTTTTTTAAAGCTAAGTCATCTTAGGTTAAAAGGAAAAAAGAAAAAAATATCCCCCTCTAATGGCAGAAGGCGGAATAGCAGCTTCCCATTAGTTTCTGTGGACGAAAAGAGCAGATACGGATTAAATGGTTTTCAATGCATTCCTATGGGAAATGCAGATTCGACTTAAGAACTTTTCGACCTGAGAACTGCCTTCCAATACGGATTAAGTTCGTAAGTCGAGACCCCACTGTAGTGTGACTACCGACAGTGCAGAACCAAGGAGTTGAATTGACCATTTAATCCCACAGATGAAGAAATAAAGCTGTTAATTTGATCACGGTTAGGGAATGCCTTCAGTGTCTTTAAGTTCTTTAGCCATTATTTTAGTCCTTACAAACAGATCCAGAGTGACACCTGTCACAAACTTAGTAAAGCACACCAAGGGGTCTCCAGTACAGTCTCCCAAGTGTTTTAGTTAGACTACAGCATGAGCCACAGCTATTAAGAATCTTAGATTACGGAAACCAAAAGCCCAAAACATCTATAGAGCACAAAACTGGACAAGGTTTTTCTAGACTGGGGCTTTTATTTGTTCAGTCACCTTGTCTCAGTCAGAATTTTATGGTGGTAGTTATTAAACACTTCCAAAGATGATTTTATTCATGTTGGAAATTGAAGGTATTGTGCAACTATGCTTTATTAAATTATCCTTAAAAGTTTTCTGCAGTAAGACAACAATGGTAGAAGACCAAGGAATTTGATCTACATATTGGACGAGCATTTGTCAAAAACCTCCACAAAAAACGAGTTTTTCCACTGCTTTCTTTTTGTTTTTCGTATCACCAGACAAACTTAAAAGGAAACGATGCAATAAGTACAGCGGGGATTTTTTAAAATGATACCGCTAGGAGCCACCTTGCCAGGAATTGGAATTGCAGGGCCAAATATTTTAATTTACCGGTTTTCTGGCTCACACAAATATAACCAGTCTGTCTATACTTGCCCGGGAGCAAGCGTTATTAAATTCAAATAAGATTTCCAAGGAAATAAGGTATTAGTTCGCTGACTTTCTGTTACTGCCTCAGCTGAAACCCCAAACAAGCTCACGTAAAACCATAATGAATATGCTAACAACTTATTCGTTTAGTAAAGCTAACTACTCCGAGCCCGCTTCCTCCCCACATTGTCCCTCCACTCCTGCTCCCCGAGCGACGCTATGTAATGGACGTAGTTCCGGCGAGCTCCCCCTCCTCTCTCTCTCCCCCGCAACTACATTTCCCAGAAAGCCATGGCAGGGCGCGAGCTGCCCCCTTACGTCAGAGGCTCAATGAGCCAATCGCGCCGCGGCCGAGGCGAGCGCTTGCAGCCGCCAATGTTGTTTTCGCTGAGTCGAGCTGCTGGTGTTGTTGGCGGTGCCGGCGCCATATTGGAAGGGACGAGGCGGTGTTTTTTTTTTTCACCCCCCCTTTCACCCCACCGCAACCGTCATTCTCGTCCGTCTTCGAGACCACGGAGATACTTGAGCACAAGCTTAGCCGCCGCCATGCTGTATCTGGAGGATTACCTCGAGAGTAAGTTTTTTTTTGTATTTGGGGCGCGGCGGGGGGGCACTAGGCCCGAAGGGGAGGGGGAAACGGCGAGCGAGAAGCCGCGAGGCCGAGGCTCCGCCCACTTGCCCCTCCCTTCCCCTTTTTTTCCCCCCATGTCGGCCGTCGCGTGTGACTGAACCGCTCCTTCTCTCCTCCCAACCCCTCCCTCTCTCCCTCCCTCCCTGCAGTGATCGAGCAACTTCCCATGGATCTCCGCGACAGGTTCACCGAGATGCGGGAGATGGACCTGCAGGTGCAGAGTACGTGAGCCAGCTCCGCCCACGGACCGCCTCCCTGGCGCGCGGCCCTACGAGGGGTGGGCGGGGCGCAATCCGGCCGTTCTGGCCAAATAAGGGAGAAAAGGAGGGGCGGAGGCGTTCCCTAGAAGGAGCCGGGTTTCGTACGGCGCTCAGGATGCAAGTCCTGTATAGCCATCTCTCTAATCCAGGCACTGTGCGATTTCTGGCATGGATTTATTTTATTTTTTTGGAGAAGTGGCGCAGCTAGGAAAGTTTAATAGCAGGATTGAATGGTGGCCCTTCTTTTTTAGGTGCTTCTGCTTTTTGCAGCTGATTGTGGATTTCTCAAGGGTTTTAAAATTTTAATTGTCAACCCTTTATTTTAAGAAAAGTATTCCAAGTTCGAAGCTAGAGAAATAATACACTTATTAGTTAAAAGGAATAACCTGACCATCTCTATAGTTATTTAGATGTCCAGCTGTCCTTTGTTCCCAGCACTGGAATGTGTTTTAATGTAAAGGATACTGCTGATCTGAGTAGGCTCTGAAATGTCCATATAATGGTGACACTGGACTTGTTTGCTGCTCTTCTCATCACCTGTAGTCATTGGGAAGATAGTTTTGTCCTAGCTATATGATTTACACATTTACATTGGAAGGGGTTAGATGATTGGATAGCTTAGTTAGCCAAAGCACCTGGCTGTGCACCTTTACATTGGGAAGAGGAAGGGGTTAGATGATTGCATAGCTTAGTTAGCCAAAGCACCTGGCTGTGGAGCCAGAGGGTGAGAATTTGATTCCCCAATCTGTCTTGTAGGAGAACAGCTGCTGACTAAACCTCCCCTTTTTTTTAGTGTTGCAGTGAGCATGGCCTAAGCACAACTCACATATTTTGAGGGCGACATCCCAAAATAAAAAAAAAAGTCTTTAAACTTACATGGATTGATAAACCTTCCCTTTTTTCAGTGTTGCAGTGAGCATGGCCTGAGCACAACTCACATATTTTGAGGGCAACATCCCAAAATCAAAAAAAAGTCTTTAAACTTACATGGATTGCATCTGCCATACATGATGTCATTCCTGTTCATAGTGCTGTGGAGCAAAATGCTGCCAGGATGTACATTGTTGTGAATGATACATGAAATAGTTAACACACTCAACTGCAAAATGCCAATAATCTTATAAAACCTCTTTGCAGATATTAACATTTACTATTTTGTATTAAGGACATATTTTAGTTTCTGTAGGACATTTTTCAAAGTGATATTTCTGGGCTTATGTTTCTGTCTCTAGCAATTCTCTTGCAAGAAATTTAAAGTAATTTAATTTCCACTCTTTGGCAGTATTGTTACTGCAGCTTTTCATATGCATATTGTTCCCTTGCTGTCCTTGGTGCTTGTTTCTAACGACATTTGCATAAGATTGTTCTGCATAACTTCAATCTTATGCATGTTTAATTAAAGCCAAACCCCAAAGAATTCATTGGTGCTTACTCCCAGATTAGTCTGCATAAGATTGCAGCCTTTATTGTGTTGGCTCTGTTCTGGTGGTGCACCAGTTCTTCTCAACACTTTATCTAGTTGTGAGCCCCGTAACTTCATTGGGGTTTTCACATTCCGTCTTTGTACCCATACACTCAATAGATGGGGGAAATTCAACAGGATTTATTGGAACTTTGAAGGTAGAAGAAGGTAACAAGCTATTACTCAAGGAAACAAGTGTCTCAATCCTCAATACTGTCTCTGCGCCTCCTTTGTGAGTCTGCTGCTTCCAGGTTCTATTTGCCAGGGAGACTTCAGTCTCTCAGAGTGACCAGTTCTCTCCACTGAACTCCCAACCCAATCCGAGCATTCAGTCCAATTATACAGGATTCTGCCTCCCAACATCAACCCCTGGAGAGAGGGGCAGTATGACTGCACTGAGGACAGGTGTGGTAGGATTCTTAGTGCTATGGATCTCTTCACCTCAGGATCTTTTTCTCCACCAGCATTTACTTACTAGGGGGACAGAATTGTCTTTTCCTCTGACCCCTTTTTGCTTCCCCCCCCCGCAAGAAGTTTGTAGGAGTGTTTTGTATTCAAACTTGGCTGCTGCACTTTTAGGCACCCGGAACTGCACACATATTCCTCTCCTAAGATTCTTGTTATTTATGTAGCCCTATTCCCCTAGGGACGTCTTCTTCAAGGGACTCCTCAGCTCAGTCATAACCAGACCACTTCTCTTGGGTGTCCCCCCCCCATTCTGTTTGGGGCGGGATGTGTGAGGAAATTGAATGTGGCTTTATTATTAAAAAATAAAATAAGCTTTTTCTTATTACATAGTGGATGAAATAGTTCAGCCAGGAACCTACAGAGCAGATTGAACTACAAGACTCTTTCAGTAACTCAGCCCTTAGTTGTTTAGCTCAACTAGCACTATATATTCAATCAGAGATTCTAGAAACGAGAAAGAATAAAATGTTGTTTAGTTACAGTTCTTCATAGATAAAAACAAAAATCATTGTGTAAAATGTTAGCTTGTTCCATGACTGAGCTTAACTAGTTGACTGGTTTCATTACTGACTAACTACGGTTACATAGCTGACAAAACACTCTTAACTGTCCTCAGAATCCCTTGCCAAGACTGGCAGACCCCTCTCAGCTCAAAATTCCTTAATTGTGTCATATGTAGGCTCCATTCCTCCTCCCCAAAGGATTCCACTTCTATCTTCAGCTCTTCCCTTCCCAGTTTTTTTTTCATCCAAAAGGGCCCTTTCTCCCATTCCATCTCAGTTCTTATTCCCTCCCCTATCTTCAGGATCTCCTCTACGTTTCTCCCATGTCACCCTCTGACACACTAGTGAGAATTAACTCTTGAGAAAGCATTATTAGAATTTTGCAGTATAACTTTCAAAATCTTAACACGAGTTTAGTTTTTTTAAAAAAATGAATTACTCATTAGAAAATGAATTCAGAAGCATTCATTTTCTTTATAATGTGATCGAAGTACATGTATCTACTTCTGTTGTTCTTATACAATCCATTGCATATTTATAGAAAATAAATTATGCTTTAATGTTCTGTGTATTTAAGATGCAATGGATCAACTGGAGCAAAGAGTAAATGAATTTTTTATGAATGCAAAGAAAAACAAACAGGAATGGAGAGAAGAACAAATGACTTCAATTAAAAAGGTAAGACTAAGGCAGTCTGTAGTCAAACCAGATGAAACTCCAGTCCAGTTTCTTATATTGTGCCCGATGCTATTGTGGCTCCAGATTTGAGAAAAAAATGTCTCATGAGTCTGTTCTCAAACATTCTATCTTGGTGCCACAAGTTTATGGAATGTTGTACCTATCTTTAGTAAAAACACAAATAAAAATTAAAACGCGAATAGCCCTCTGTACTGTTTTGCCTGAAAATGAGGAAATAACTCATTAGTATGGTTAAAAGAACTTAATGAAAATAAGAAATTTCCCCCAATGTTAGCAGTACGTAAGCTTGTATGTTAGTTTTACAGTGATATTGTTATAATGTGAATCTAGAATATTATGAGAACATAATTAGACATGGGAATGAATAAAAAAATGGATTGCAATATTCATGGAAAATCGCAGATCCGTTAAATATTCATCCCTTCATATTTGTGGGTTCATTTAGGGTAGGGAAGCTGGAGCTGCCATCTTTGCAAAGGGGATTCAGGCTGCCCTTTGCAAAGATGGCAGCTGTAGCTTCATAATCTTACGAAACTCTTCAAAAGAGATATGAGAAGAGGTTCTAGTAAACCTCCATATTTGAAACACAAATGTACTTCTTGTACACAGCAACCTTCTTTAGAACATGTGTTTCCAAGGTCAATATCACACTGAGGTTTTACATTTACAGTATATACAGTACTGTATATATTATCTCCCCTATCAAAAAAGAGATTGGTATTATTGTCAGTGTATAGGACGTAATAGGTGTAGTCTCAGCTTTCATTCCAATGCCATAATACAGTGGGGTCTCGACTTACGAACTTAATCCGTATTGGAAGGCAGTTCTCAGGTCAAAAAGTTCTTAGGTCGAATCTGCATTTCCCATAGGAATGCATTGAAAACCATTTAATCTGTATCTGCTCTTTTCATCCATAGAAACTAATGGGAAGCTGCTATTCCGCCTTCTGCCACTAGAGGGGGATATTTTTTCTTTTTTCCTTTTAACCTAAGATGACTTAGCTTTTAAAATAAGGGAAAAAAAAGAGTTCGTAACTCGAATCTAAGTTCGTAAGTCGAGTCCATATATTCCTATGAGAGCGGTTCGTAAGTCGAAACGTTCATATGTCGAGCCGTTCGTAAGTCGAGACCCCACTGTATTGGAGGGAGATGCACTGAATGTTGAGTTTACCTCCCCATGTTTCAAAAATGGTGAAGAGATAGACCTAGTTTTTGAGCTTTAAAAAGTCCTTATTTGAATATTTACTGACATTATTGCATTATATACAAGATTCTGAACAAATTTATTTATTCAAATGTTGATTAGAGATGCGCTGACAGGTGCTGTGGTGGCCCAGTTCTCTCCCATAGAACCAGCCAGCTCACTGGGCTCTGCGCAGCGCTGTGGTCTTCTTTCGGCAACAGCACGCCAATCCTGATAGGTGCCTGGCCTGCCCTTCCCCTGCCTCCCCCCCCGCATGCCAACCACTCATCAGCTGAGTGGGGAGACCATTATTGCATTATATACAAGATTCTGAACAAATTTATTTATTCAAATGTTGATTAGAGATGCGCTGACAGGTGCTGTGGTGGCCCAGTTCTCTCCCATAGAACCAGCCAGCTCACTGGGCTCTGCGCAGCGCTGTGGTCTTCTTTCGGCAACAGCACGCCAATCCTGATAGGTGCCTGGCCTGCCCTTCCCCTGCCTCCCCCCCCGCATGCCAACCACTCATCAGCTGAGTGGGGAGACTCCCCACCCCACTTCCATGCCAAAGTGGTTGGCTGCAGGGGGAGCAGGGAAGTGCTGGCCGGGCTCCTGCTGGGATTGGTGTACCACTGCAGAAGAAGAACCAGAGTGCACCTCAGAGCCCGGTGAAGTGCCCATCTGTATGGTTTATCATTACACCTGTCTGTGCATCTCTAATAATTTTATTGATTAGTTAGATTTGTAAATTTATAGTAATAATTTTTAAACTGGTATGTAAATATAGTTTATTTGTATGATTTTTTCCCACACAGGATTATTACAAAGCTCTAGAAGACGCAGATGAAAAAGTACAGTTGGCTAACCAGATTTATGATTTAGTAAGTAAAATAAAGAACCTAGAGCTGATTATGATTGTGGAATTTAACTGACAGATTGACAAAACTTTAACACTCATTCTTAGAATTGTTTTTTGTGACCAAAGCTCTTTAGGTAAGAGGTCCCCAACCCCCGGTTGGCGGCCCGGTGCCTGTCCATGGACTGAGGTGGACCGGGCCGCGGAGAAAGCCCTTCCCTCCCAACACACACACTTTCCCCCGCACAACCCCTTTGCGCATGCGCACCCACACAAGCACTTCACCACCCCTTTGCGCATGTGCACGGATACCCCCGAGCACAGTGCCACTCTTCGTGCATGTCCATGAGCGTGTGCACGCCCATGTGAGAGAATGCCCACTCCTTTGCTCATGCGTACGAGCGCGGGGGGTGCCCTGCCTTCCCCATCCAGTCCGCGGGGTTAAAAATGTTGGGGACCGCTGCTTTAGGCAATGTACACATGCATAAGAAATCATGCATTAGCAGAATTACTGCTAATAAATGAAATGCCATTTAGGTTCCTGGTTGCATGGCAAACACAGTCAGGAACATAACAGGAATCTTACAAATTACTGCAATTGTTGCAATTTGTATGATTTTGCTTATGCGTCTGTGAATCCTATAATATGTTTCTGGAGTACGTCTCAGAATAGTATACAATTTTTTTTCTTTCCGTCTTTATTTCTGTATGCATGTCTGAGGTAAAAGGTTTATATCTGCATGCATGGTAAGTGACTGGGGTTTGATTGACAATTATGTGTGGCATGTGTGCCAAGAGGACAATTAAGACATATGAGAAGTATAAAAGAATGTTTGTGAATGGAACGGTGAGCTGATTGGTTTAAGTACTATCTAGAGAGATCATGTTTCGCATATAAGAGTGTGTGTGAGAGTCAGTCAGAGTTGGGATTTGAGTTAGAGCTGTGAATTAGAAAGAGCTTAAATTAGCGCACTGTTATAATTGTGTGAGAATGAGTGTGGTCTCTTGGGAAAAGGTATTGATAATTCTTTTGTCCAAACAAGTGTCTATAAAGTGGACCCTCGACTTATGAAGGTCCCTGCTTATGTAAATTTCGAGGTACGAAAAGCTTTGGCCGCAAAATTTTAGTTTGACTTGCAGCCGGAGCTTCGACCTACGAAAGGCAGGGGGAAAGGGTGGGAAATTCAAAGCCACCCCCGCTGCCCTCTTGTCTCATGTCCCCGGTGCCCTCTGCTTCTTGGGGCCAGGAGACAGAGGGCAGTGGGTGCAGCTTGCTAAGCCCCGCATGCCAAAAGCCACCCCGCCTTCTGCACCCACTGCCGGCTTTCAGCTTTCGGGGCTTAGAAAGCTGCACCTGCTGCCCTCTTGTCTCCTGTCCCCGGTGCCCTCTGCCTCAGCCTGCCTTGTCTCCTAAGGCAGAGGGCACCGGGGACAGGAGACAAGAGGGCAGCAGGTGCAGCTTTCAAAGCCCCGAAACCTGGTAGCAGGCTTCCCGGGCTTCCAAAGCTGCACCCACTGCCCTCTGTCTCCTGTCCTCAGTGCCCTCTGCCTCCTGTCCGTGCGGGGACAGAGGGCAGCGGGGACAGAAGGCAGAGGGTAGCGGGTGCAGCTTTGGAAGCGTGGGATTTTTTTTCTTTGGCTGGGATGGATTAAATGGTTTTCAATGCATTCCTAAGGGAAATGGACCCTTGACCTACGGACTTTTCGACCTACAGCCACAGTTCCAAAATAGGGATTAATTCCGTAAGTCAAGGGTCCACTGTATAAGGAACAGGAAGTGTGTAAAATTATGAAAAGGTACAACAAAGGCTTTTAGTTACTGTATATACTTGTGTATAAGCCTTGTTATTCAGAGTAATTTTTTAGCTGCAAAGCACCCCCTTGGCTTATATTCGAGTCAGTGTCAAAATTACATGTTCTCCCCTGCAGTGTTCTCCAGACTCCCCCGCTCATCTACAGGCGCCTGTAGCCTCTGTGGGTGGTCTAATGACCTGAGTTAAGTACACTGCATTTCCACTTCCAGGACACTCCCATCCTTCTCCTCCTGTATATTCTATGTACCCACCTTCCTCCTCCCTCTCCCTCCATCTTGTTACTCAGCAGTAGAGCAGTAGAAAAGTGCAGCATCTGTTATGAGTCCTCCCTCTGCAGGTAGTGAAGTGTCTCTCGCAGCTCAGAAGGGCAGTATCTTTAAAAACTTTTAACCTACTGATGCCCCAATTAATGTAATTTTATTGGTATCTATTTTTATTTTTGAAATTTACCAGTAGCTGCTGCATTTTCCACCCTCGGCTTATACTCGAGTCAATATGTTTTCCTAGTTTTTTTGTGGTAAAATTGGATGCCTCAGCTTATATTCGGGTCGGCTTATACTCGAGCATAATATATACTATACTATAAACGGGAATGTGACAAATTCATTTTATCACTTTTGAGTCATTACATATAAGTGGGGCCACTGAAAATCAATATTTACAGCTTGAGAGGTTCAGGAGAGTTAGTATGGTTTACTTCTTAGTAAGCCTCTGTAAGAACGCAGCTGTAATATAGAATTTTATTCATTGGTCAATGTTCTGTTAAGCTTCTGCCGAGAAAAAAAAAGTCCCGCAAACAGTCATGCATGATTGTTTTGCTTGTGCAAGAAATGCCATTGCATAAGTAATGATAACCATGAGGAAAATTTGTCCTCCACTTCCACATTTGTAATGCTTGTGCAGATGATGTGATCTTGCATTACTACACTGGTGATACTTTCTTAAGAATCTTAAGAATCTTAATAAAATAATGCTCTGTACACTTATATTTGAAAATAACCGCCCATTATGGTTATTGTGTGAATGTAACATTTTCATGCTGGGTGGTTCTACTAGAAATCTTTCATTGGTTTTATATTATTCAGTTGTAATTAATGTTAAGTGAGTTTTTCATTTAAAGTTGTCTAGAAAATAGTTTGACATTTTATAAATCTTTCCTTAAAATAGGTAGACCGTCACTTAAGAAAATTGGACCAGGAGCTAGCTAAATTTAAAATGGAACTTGAAGCAGATAATGCTGGTATTACAGAAATATTGGAAAGGCGTAAGTATGTATGATCTTTTAGGATTGTATGTTTACATAACTGGCCACATTAGGATTATTGGAGCCTGGATTAATAAACTTGCATATGCATTGGCTTTTTGCAGCTGTACAAAGACCTTTTGCTGCTCCTTCACTTCTCATTTCAAGTGGCCAATTGGAAAAATGCTTGAACTGGGAACAAGCAAAAGGGTATACAAAGCCTTCAGAGGTCCAAGAGCTGCAGACACCCATCCCTAAACATAAAGGGCCAGTTCCATTCCTCATTCACCCAAGAAATAATTTTTATTTTAAAGGTTCCTAAAAAAAAAATAAAAAAATAAAAATACCACTTCACATCCTCTGGACCCCAAAAATGGGGGACCTATAAGTGCTGTGGGCTACATTTGGGGCCTTGGAGGCTATATATAACCCATCAGATACACTTTGCCAACCATTGGTTTAACATGTAGATTTCACTATACATGCGTGTAGTGAAAATGCTGCAGCATAAAGATATGTTGCGGGTAGATACTACAATAGATATAGGTATCTTAGATAACATAAAGATACCAGTTATAGAACATATTTTTAGTATATGCCAATTTTAAGTTTACTTCCTGAACTTTTCACACGATGCCTTTAAAAACTTGACTATAAGTTATCTTTATTGCTAACATATTAAATCCAAAATAAGATGCATAGTCTATAGGAAAATATCTTTCTCTTGGTTTTCTGCTTATTCGTTTTGATTGGAATTTTTTTGCAAGATTGAAGTTATTACTGGTTTTAATCTAAGAAAAAATAAACTGGAATACAGAACATAAACCTCCTTGATTACTTTCAAAGTACCTGGTTGTGTTGACTTAATGTTTTGCACAGTTTATTCTAAAGATATCATAGTCTACTAAAACTGAGTTATTTTAAGGTGATAATAAATGTGTTATGTCATTTTTAACAATGTCTTCTGTCAATAGGTTCTTTGGAACTGGATACACCATCACAACCACTGAATAATCATCATGCTCATTCACACACTCCAGTTGAAAGTGAGTTGAACATTTCAAATGTTGTGTTTGATTTGTAAATGAAAAACAATAGAATAAAATTATTCTGTTTAACAAATATCTCAAGAACCATCTGTGTCCTAAAACAGCCAACAGAATGTAGGATGATATGGACTCCTCTGCTGAAATTTGATGTCTTCATGGTGAAGCTAAGCTGTGTATGCTGATTTCTAGTACTAACCCTTTGTACTAAAATGTCTCAAGTTCTACTTCTGGATTAATAGAAGTTTTCTTCTTCCTATAGAAAGGAAGCATAATCCCTCCTCTCACCATGCAGCTGCAGATCATGTCCCAGAAAAGAAGTTTAAGTCTGAAGCCCTCCTGTCAACTCTCACTTCAGATGCTTCTAAGGAAAATGCACCTGGTAATTGCAATTTCAGTATAAGTGAAGTTTTATGTGTACATAACAAGTTGAGTTTATTCTTTATGTTATTCCATATTCAGTAATAGCCTTCCTTACATTTTACTTTTAGTAGAAAGACAGGTACAATCTTACTTTTCTGCAAGATTTTGTGGTTGCAATACTGTACTTAGACATAATGGTTGTCTAACAAATCTGGTAGATAATGTATGGCATAATAGTAACTCATGAAATCAAAACAAAGCCAAATTAAGTTTGCACACATTTTAGAAGGTGCACTAACGATTCCAAGCATTTAAAACCGTTTTTGAACCTTTTAAGACACACTTAAAATTGCAAAATCAGAACATCGCTAAGCGAAACAGGGGACCTAAAACTGTCATCGCTAAGCGAGGCAAGGTCCCGAACATCGCTATGCGAATTTTCCCTATAGGGAACATCATTAAGCGGAGCGCAAGATCGCTCCAGAAACCTCATCGCTAAGTGAATACATCGTTAAACAAGGCAATCGCTAAGAGAGGCACCACTGCATTGCTATTCATTAGATTTTGAAGACATGCACTTTTGAGACTATGTATCATAGTGTTACCATCTTCATCAAAGGATTCACCCTGTACTCAGATTTGGATACCAACAGCCTTGCTCTCTTATCATTTGAAAATGATTTATTGGTGTATAAAGAGCTGACTTTCTCCATGGCCTTTTAACATTTTGGCCCTGGGATGAGAGGGAAAACAAATAGGGAAAAAATCTGATGAACAGAGCATTGCCAAGATAATATTATATTGTGCAACTTATTACCTAATTAGAGCACTACCTACCTTTTACTCATCAATACAGCTGATTTTCAGCTTTCTAAACTTTAAATCTAACTTTAGTTTTCACTTTCAGTTATATAAATATGTTCCCTTTGTTCATCAAGGGTCTCGAAACAATAATTCATCATCCTCATCCAACAGTGCATATAATGCAAATTCTTCTCAGCCATTGGCATCGTATAACCTGGGCTCATTATCTTCAGGAGCTGGAGCTGGTGCTATTACCATGGCAGCAGCTCAGGCAGTCCAAGCTACAGCACAGGTAAGGAATTCAAAATATGTTTTTAAGGACCTGTCTCAAGCCGTCTGTTTTGGGTATAACTTTCCTTAGTTTAGATTATTATTATAAATTTGAAATTTCTAAGAATTTCAGTTACGTGTTATCTGAGATTTCATGGCACAGGAAAGGAGATCTTGTTTTTATACAGGGCATTTAAAAATTCTATTGATTTAAATTAAATATGCATATATGTTTAAGATAGTTTAGTCTGTAATTTTTTGCACACTTCCTGCAAGCAAGTCATGTTAGAGTACAGTAGCCAGGTTGGAATATATAGTGTGATTTCTTGAGGTGCAGTAATCATGTAGGATCAAGCCACAGTTTTATAAAGTTGTGGAAATATTAGCCTACTCTAAATAATGTTGTGCCATTTATAGGCCAAAGCAGCTTCAAGTATGTCTAAGCAACAGCACACTGTATGTTGCATCTGAACTTAGCTTTGCTTCTAGTAAACCCATTAAAATATTTTAAGCTAATTCACGTTGTTAATTTCAAAAATTGTGCCTGAAGTATGCCTAAATCTGATTCTAATCTTGGTTTTGTTTGTTTTAAGATGAAAGAAGGGAGGCGTACGTCTAGCCTTAAAGCAAGTTATGAAGCCTTTAAAAACAATGACTTCCAACTTGGAAGAGAATTCTCATTGTCCAGAGAAACAACTGGATATTCATCTTCTGCTTTGGCATCTACGTTATCACAGACATTAAGTTCATCAACCACGGATTCGCGGAGTGGTCGAAAAAGCAAGTAGGTTCATACAAATGATGGCTTTTTTCAGTTGTGCTTGCTTTGGAGCTGGAGAAATCATGTATCTGTTACCAGTGCTATTCAGCAATTTCAACTAGAAAGTGAAATTGCTGAATAGCAATTTGGTGACTGGTTATCAGCTCCTGGAAACTAAGCAGTTGTATGTTTGAAGGGGGGAAACCTTGTGTGGCATGATTCTTTTATAAACAACAAAAAACTGATTTAGAGTCTTGCGAATACACATTCTTTGAGCAACACAGTTACTCAAGTCGTTTTATTTTATCTTTTACCATGGGTAAATGCAGGTACTTGTCTGGTAATTTAACTAATATTGAAAGCTTTTGGTTCTTGAATTCTAAAAGAAATTGAGCCAGTCACTGTTCCAGTCTCCTGGTTCAGCTCTATCTAGCAGAGAACTAGTTGGTCATGTCTAAGAGCATATCCACTAGATATTCGTTATAAATGTAAGCTAGAGTGAAATATATATTTTCATAAAATTTGGGAAGGCAACAGGAAACTTCATAGACAGGGTAGAGGCTTCATAGAAAGTTTGTAAGGAAATTACAGACATTAGCTCTTCATGTCCAAACCAAGAAAGGAAAAAAATGATTGGCACAGAAGTAACATGGCAGTTCTGAAATTGTTCTTACAATGTATACAAACATGCACTATTACTGTAGAAACAGACAGTAAGAAAACAATATTTAAACTGTTTGAGTAGGGAATATAGCATAATTTAAATATTTCTGGTTCTATTGAATATATTGAATTTTATGAAAATTTTAATATATGGAATCAAACTGTTCTTCGGACTTTTATCTACAGTGCAGTACAGACTACTTTAAAAAATGTTGATGTCTTGAAAAAAATCTAAATATTTTGCAATTTTTTTGGGCTGCAAATAAAAAGAAAGATCTGCATCAAATACAATTAACAATCTAACGGTTCTGCTGTGAAAATCAATTGTAGTGAGTATCTTTGTAGCACAATATTACAATTTTTTTTCAGAAACAACAACAAATCATCAAGTCAGCAGTCATCCTCTTCTTCTTCGTCTTCCTCTTTGTCATCGTGTTCCTCATCCTCTGCTCTAGCACAGGAACTGTCTCAACAAGCAGCAGTAATACCAGAGTCAGAGTCTAATAGCCAAGTTGATTGGACCTATGATCCAAATGAGCCACGTTACTGCATTTGTAATCAGGTATACTCTAAAGAATATGATATAGAGCATAGAATATGATGTGAAGTTAATAGATGGTTGTAGCTAGACTTGTGCATTGGCCCCACAACCCACATTTTGTCAAAAGAGCATACAGATTGTTATCTGACCTGTCTTGCGGTCTTTTGGAGATACCTCAACCAGCTCCTTACAAGGGTTCATGATGTTATTTGTGTGTTTCTGGATCTCTATGAAGAATCTTGTTCTAGGAGCTCACTATCTTCCTTAATGTTTCTTTTTCTTCTGTTCTTCTAACTGATATGTGAAAACTGCTGAATTTAACATGTGGAGTCTATGGCAGGTGCAACTCCATGCTTGTGAGCTTCTTTTCTCCACCCTGTGGTCACCTGGAAACACACAAAGTATCCCTGATCTGGCTGTTATTTACACATTTGTCTGAAGATTGTGTACATTGCTAATTTCAGCCTCTAATAAAGCAAAGCAAAATGTGATGCTTATATGCCACCCCATAGGATTTAAAGCACCCTCTGTGCAGTTTACAATATTATTACGCAAATAACATGTGCCCTCCCCCCGCAAGCTGGGCACTCAGTTTACCAACCTTGGAAGGATAGAAGGTTGAATCTACCTTGAGCTGGCTACCTGAGTCCGGAATCAAACTTGGGTTACAAGGACATTTGCTGTTTAACCACTGCACCATCAGGCAATGAATATCTTAGTTAATGCCTTTATTGTGGCATATTTATTGAGAGCTGACTACTTTGTGTAGTCGATTTAGAAGTAATAAGCTATAAAGCTTCGTATGTTCATATTTAAAACGCTATTTTTATACTTGGTAGATACTGTATGTGCACAGATTGTTATTTGGAACTGTATAGCTGAATGCTTAATTTAAAATGAAAGGAGGATATTCTACATAGCATATATAGACATGGACTACAAATGTTGAGGATGTGAAAATGAAGAATGTAGCCTGTATTTATATATTTTTTTAAATTCTGCCAGCAACAGCAGTTGAGAAAGCAATCCTGAACTTTTTTGCAGCCCATCTTTCTTTCTGTGTGTCTGTCTTCATATCAGGGCACTGCACAATTTAAAGTTATGGGCACATACAAAATATAAGTAAAATTAAAAGCAAAATAAATGGTAAACTAATTAAGCTATTTTTGATCAGAAGAAGGATACTTCAATAGCAGACTACTTTTGCAGCTCCTGACTGCCCTATATACTGTAACTGCCCAGGAGCAGATATTCAGGTAGAGAAGGGCTACTGAGGAGAGAGAACACACCATGAATGTAACTTAACCTACAGTGCCCTCCAAAATGATAGAATTTTTTTAAAAAAATATATTATCTGATGGTTCTGTGATGCCTAAAACTTGAAACAGCAGAAAAACAAAGGTGTATCATTGAATTTGTTTCTAATGTAAACATTTCTCAATTCGTCCCATATATGTTGTCTCTCTTTTTTTTAAAATGTTCCTTTTTTAGGTGTGAAGAAATGATTTTTTGCACCATAAGACGCACTTTTTCCCCACAAAACAGGGGGGTGGAAAGTCTGTGCGTCTTATGGAGCGAAGAAAACAGATTATATTTTCCTGTTTTCTTCTCCTAAAAAATTGGTGCGTCTTATGGAAAGGTGCGTCTTATGGAGCGAAAAATACGGTATGTTGTCTCTCTTTTTTTTTAAATGTTCCTTTTTTAGGTGTGAAGAAATGTGTGGTCAGGGACAATGTTAATTATTTTCCAAATAACATGTGTTGCCCTTTTTTGTAGGTTTCCTATGGTGAAATGGTGGGCTGTGATAACCAGGATGTAAGTATGGAAAGATGGGAATGGGTGGGAGGGTGGATAAAACACTGTTTTTTGAAATTCCACTTTTCCATTTTAAACCTGAATTGCAAGCCATGTTTCAAAGCAAGACTAGACATCTGAAAAGGCTGATGCACATACACCAGGGTTTCACATGTTTAAGAAGCTTGCAGCTTCTGAGGATGAGTTGAGCCTGGACTTTGTTATGTTAAGAGCTGAATCACTTGAAATCAGTTATTTCTCAATAATCTTTTATAGAAGAAATTATAATATCTAGCAGACAAGATAAATCCTGTGAAGCTTTCCAAAGAAAGAAGTTCCTTGCTACTTTATTTTATGTTCTCCCTAATATTGCCTACTAGAGCTAGTAATTTTATTTTTCTTTTGTGTGGTGAAGTAGAGCTATGACTACTTCAAAAATACTGTCCTGTATTTAAAACGATACTGTAGTGTTTTGAACTAAATCAGGTTTTAGAAACCGATAAAGCATCTTTTCTCTTTATTTGTGTTACAGTGCCCTATAGAGTGGTTCCATTATGGCTGTGTTGGATTGACAGAAGCACCAAAAGGGAAATGGTACTGTCCGCAGTGTACTGCTGCAATGAAGAGAAGAGGCAATAGACACAAATAAATATCTTTTTCACTTCAGCTAAAAACATTGTGCTTCTTTTGAGGTGTGGGCTAGAAGGAAATGGTTCTTTGCAGTCGGTCAAAGGAGAATTGATATAGCTGTCATAAAACATTGATTTCTTAATTTTGCTAGCTGTGTTTTAATATTGTATCTAAATTATTCATGCACTATTGTGCTATAAATACTTTCCCAGTTAGCCATGGATTGTTCCAGTGGCAAACATATGCAGACATTTGTACTCTCAAACCATTTTCTCTAACTAAGGGGCATTCTACAACAATTTAATCTTCAAATAATTCCAGCAAATTGAGACTTCAAATGGTTGTATATTCTGCTGGCATTCTGCTGCATGTTCTGTACTCAAGAGCTGTTATGTGGAATATTCTGTATATAAGTGGTGCAGAAAGTCAGAATGTTATAGTTTTGTTTCTTGTTGAAACTAAATTCAGCAGGCTGAAGAAAATGGTTATTGTATACAATGGGCTAGTGTCCTCTAGAGTACGTGGTACCTAAAAACAGACTCTTGTATGCTTTAAACAAATATACCATTAGTCCTGATATGTTTGGGGGCCATTGAGGGCACAAGTGATAAAAATGGTGTTAAAGTGATAAACCTTTTATACCGAATGTGTTTATTTTTTTGTGCAAGTGATCCTTTAAATTGAAACTGTATTAGTTGTCAAAATTTAAAAAAAAATCAAAGGCTAGTATTAATGCTTTGCATACTTTATCTAAAAAGTACAGTAAAAACATTTCATGGAAGCTTTCATAATATGCTGTTTAACTGGATAATTTTAAATAATTTTTATTTTTTTAAAAAAATATATGAATAAAAGGTTTCCATCTCTACAATACTAGGTATTCTGGTGTGTGATTGTTTTCTCTAGTACAATTTTCTCATTTCTATTGTCAAATAAGAATAACTCAATTTAAGAAAAACAATTAAAAAACGTTTTTTAAAAGCTAAAAATTTCATAGATTTTATATTAATTCAGAAAATGCAAATCTATATTTAAATGAACACACACACACCCTTTGTAACTAATTATTTCAGGGCTGCTTCATATGTTTCCTACATGAATAAATAATTATGTGCCCCCAGATCAATTCTGATTTATGCCAACCCTTTCCAGGGTTTTCTAGGTATAGAATTCTCAGGAGTGGTTTACTGTTCCCTTCTTCTGGTGGCAGTCTGAGATAATTGTAGCTTGCCCAACGCTATACAGGCTGCTCTGGTGGCAGTCTGAGATATTGTAGCTTGCCCAACGCTATACAGGCTGGCTCTTATCTAAGGCAAAGAACTGTACTTCCAACCTCTGATGTTCCAGATCACTAAGCTATCTGGCCACCTTTCCTAAATTAAACATTATACAGTATTATTTATTGGAAGGGAACACAAGGGGAATTTGGATGGCAATACAAAGAAATCTGAAGTGACATATGATAATGGATTCAATTTAACAGGGCAATGCTGAATGTTAATTTCATGTTAATGTCTCTCTTGAATGTATTCCTGCCCCTAAATTTGCTGATTAGTCCTTGAGTGACTGCTAATTTGGCACATTTTTTCATCCAAAGGCAAGCTTCTTCCTCAAAGTAGAGTGACAATCAAGAATCCCATAGTTGTCAGAAGCCAAATTCACGGAAGAGATACTGCTTCCTAGAATAATTTTGCTTTTAATTTGAAAAAATGCCTTCTTCCTATCTGCATCTTGGGAAAGGAAGTTGTTTTGATCTCTATTGAAAGGTTGCATGATGCCCTTTGCCTCTTTCTTTGGGTGTCAGCATTTGTCTTCTTGCAAGTGATAGCCCCTCATGTATGCATAGAAGTGAAACCCCAAACTTGATTTTGGCTTGCTATCTCTTCCGCTATATGGGCAAATAGCTATAATGGCTTGAAATAAATAACATAATCATTTTACTTGAATGTTAATTTACAGATTACTGAAGAACTGATAAATTAGGAGTCACATTCCATAGATGGAAGACGTGTGGGCCAACACATGTTAGATTCCATTCTTGTCACCTTTAAGTAGCATGATTACTTTGAGCAATGGAACTGTAGTTTGGTATCAAGAACAAAGTTTTCCCCTTCCTGTTATTAAGCAGATTAACCAGTTTATGGACACACTGGACCAGAATGAATCAATGAGTTTCAAGGTCCCGTAAGATTTTTGTCATCTTGTTGTGGCAAAATAATCAGATAGCACTTCAGAATATCTGACTTTGATGGAATTATGAGTATACAGCACCTTTGAATATGTCTGCACTATCCCTAGATCTTAGAATATGTACTAGCATGTTTTTCACACAGAGATAGCAGTAATTGTTTTTTAAAAAAGGTCTAGCACATTGTTTAAAAGAGCCCAGTGTTGACAGATGATACAGTGGTGTCAACCCTTCAAAATAACACTGTGCCTCAGTATGGTTTCACATATTCCAGTTGTGCTGTATCTGAAATTTTCCTAAGACTGAACAACTCCAGTACCTTTACCCCTAAATAACACACCCCATAACCCCATGTTATGGAATGTTTAAAAGCAGTTATGAAATGATTAATTTCTAGTAGTCTTGGGAAAGCTTACTGACAGCCTGAGCGAGCAATGTCTGGAGTTCCTGCTGCAACCACTAGAGGCTACTCTTCGCAGTTCTGGTTGCTCTCAACCTCCCTGTTCTGAAAGGAAAGGGATCCCACTGAGGAGTATTCCCAGCAACAATGTATGGAATTATGATCTTGGAGCTTAATTAGGCACCCCTTTCTGGAGTATTTATAAAATGTTGGGATACCATAAGGAAGTAAAGGCTTTGATGATGTAACATTTAAGTATGAGTTCCATAAAAATACTTGTCAGAAATCAGCTGAAAATATATTTTCCATTTCCGTAGTTTACTTTTCGTTTCTAAGAAGTATACAGTTTATACTATGTATAGTTCATTTTTCATTCCTATAAAGTGACAAGAAGATCAGGTTAGCTTTAAATGCCCCAGAAACGTGGGTCAAAAACTCATTAAAATGTTAATATCTGGACATTTCCTGATATACAGCCCATCTGATTTGGCCTGGACGCTCCAAAGTTACAATTACATTCTTCAGAATGAAATGGAAAATTAATATGTAGTGGCTTATAGATTTTCCAGTTCATTAACAGGAACGGCAGGCAGACAATGCTCATTTAAATACTCAGAACAAAGCATGTGTCACAGTCTTACAGTTGGAGAGATGGAATGTTTGAATGCTGCTCCATGTAAAAATAATAGTCCTTAAAAGGAATGTATTGCAAATAATTATGTCACCTGTCTTTTTTGTTTCCTATAATAATGATGGATTTAAGATACTGCATTTAACCTGTAGTGCAAACTATAAAGGTGTTTTAAGTAACATATACCTATTATTACAAAATACTAGTGGGAATTCATGTCTTGGTGATTTGTGGTATGCAACATGAAATACAACTGCCAACTTATTAGTTAGGTAATTCATGGTTACACTATTGAAATAAATTGGGAGAGAAATAAGGATTTTTGCATTCAGTTTAAAGTCACACTGTAGTCGTGTGGTTTTCAGTGTGTGTGTGTCCTCTTGGGAAAAATTTTAATTCCTTTTTAACTTGTGTTGTATATTGGGTAGAGAAAGGTGGGGTAGAATTTTTTTAATGTCTACAATAAAGTCCTGCTGTGTAGTTATTCCAGTGGAAGAGAAATGGCTTAACTTGCAACTATAAAATGTTGCTTAATTAACAAATCCCTGCTTTGATTCTGCACCAGTGCTGTAGCCTGATGGACCAAGGAATCAAAATGGGGATTTGTTAATTAGTGGCAAATTGCAACTGCAAATTATACCATTTCCTTTAGCCAGCAATTATGTACAAGGATTTTGGCCATTGATTCCAAATATATATATGCTATCTTTTTCACTAAATAGTTGCCTAGTGGCAGCCATTCCAACAGAGAGAAATCATTCTTATACAACTAAATCATGTTTTAGCATTACTGTATGTCCAAATGTGGCTAATCTGTTCCCCAGAATGAGCTAGTATCTGGTACAAAACTAAATACTATCAAAAGAGGGGGAAAACTGCTCACAAAGACAACTTATGATTAATAACATGCATTTTGTAATAGCTGACATTTCCAAATACTCTTCATAGGACACCTGACATATAATTTATTTTAAAACCCATTGGCCCAATTGAGGCATTCACCACTTGCTTATAGGGCTAAAGGGGTGATGTTAAAGGTCTTGCAAGCCCTGACCTTTTAACATCCCCTACAGTATCACAGGCCTTCACGCAGTGAAAGCAAAGAGCTCTATAAGAGAGCTCTGTAAGTGTTTGTGTACGTGATTGCAGAAATGCTATGGCTAACCTGTGTATTCCCAGTTACAGGAGCTCTGCAATTCATCCAAATGGAATTAGTGTCCTCTTCAGACCTCTGTGCTCAATGTGCAGGGGTGTGGGATACTGCTGTTGTAGTTGTGAGAACATTCAAGGGTGCACAACTTGTCTGTAAATCCCCACCCCTGAAGCCCCTTGGTGTTCAACATATGACTGGCAAATGTTTGAATGGCACTACAACGTTACCAAACTGTTGCTAACTTTGGCAAGGTTAGATTTATTTTTTTGCAAGAAGTGTCTCAAGTGCACTTCTTGCAAAATTTGTACCTATAGAAAACAAAACTTCCAGAACCACGTCAAATACACATGAGAAAATCCCACTGTCCTGTCAAAATCATACCCAAAAGTTCAGAATTATTGTTTAACTAAAGCATTTATAATTCTGCATAGAAATGGGCACGAATCAGAAAAATGGTAATCCATTTCAATTCGTGGTTTATCAAGGTTGGTGAATCACAAATAATGAAATGTAGGTTTTTTTCTGATGAATCAGTGAATCATTTTGTTAATTCATCGTTGCATTTAAAATCCTATAAAATGCGCCCCCCCCAGCACACAGAGATACTAAAATCACATAGAATCTTTCCCCTATGATCCTCTACAAGCCCTGCAAGTTTGGTGAAGTTTGGGTTTCGGACGTCTGAGTTATGCACCCACAAAGAGGCTCTCCAGGCACCTAGAGACACAGAAACCCAATCTTCACCAAAACTGGAGGGATTGTAGAGCAGAGTCAGAGGATGTTTCTGCGATTTTGGTGTCTCTAGGAGCCGGGAGGGGGCATTTTATAGCCCAATGAGTCAAAAATTGCTAAAAATTCATTGATTTGTATTCGTCAAGGGCATTGATTTGTATGTATATAAATTATGAATTAGCAATTTTTGACACATTTTGCAATTCAGTTTTCAGTTTGTGCCCATTTTTAATTCTGAAGCCCTCAACAGCAGTATGGATTTATAGTAGTTACTTAAAACACACACACACACACAAAAGTGGACCAAAGTTTGTTTTTTCAAAGAAAAAACAAAATCTGGCCTATGGACAAAGCACACTTTCCACCCAGTCTCTGGCTCATTGCTTCAACACATATAACAAAGTACAAGTTGGCAGCATAAACCACCACAAACCACGCCAGCTATGGAATATTCTTCCATCACCATATAGTGAAGTCATACTCCCTTAACAATTAAAGCAATCAGGAAAGGTGTGTTTGCATCACAGAAAATGTGTAATTATTTTCTTAAGTGATAGTATAAGAGTAGTTATTTACAAGGAACAAATTCTTTGTGAACTGCATATGCCATAGAACTAAATTATGGTTATGTGAAAAAGAAAGTAGACCCTCTTTGAATTCTGTGGTTTTATGTTTCCAGACATAATAAAAATCATCTCCTTAGCAGGTCTGAAAATTAGGTAAATGCAGCCTCAGATGAACGACATATGACTGCATATGTTTTTCAGACTGCCTAATATTATACCACCAATTACTTTATTAAAGTTGTATTTTTAAAACCTTGTGCTGTATTTTGTGTCTATAAACTACTCTAGAGGTTCAATTGAAGAGTGGGTTGGAAAGCTTAAGTAAATAGGTAGGTAGGTAAATGCAAACTTTTCCTGTAAAAGATTTTACCATAGTATGTTTGCAATGTAAAAGTTGGCTTTTATCATTAATTGTTGCCATCTGAAATGCAGACATGGCGGAAATTTAAATGTGTAAATACATGTGACATGGGTAAACCCCTGTATACTAGCTGCAACTAAATGGTCAGATACTGTAGGATTTGCTGCTGGTGAATTTGGGTGTTTTTTTTTAACCTTATCACATGATACAAATGCCAATTCAAATCAGTCCAGCTATATTTGCTCTTGAAGCAGAGTGTTTTTTTTTTAACCTGTCGCTGAGGGCATCTATTTTTTTTCAAACTATAACAACTTGAACAGACTTTGTGAGATCAATTGTTTCATTCTCAAAAGTGGGGTGGGGGGCAGGACTGTGGGGGGCATTCTGGTGATGTACTAAACTGGGTGTGGTGTTTTGGACCCCCGTGATCTTCCTCCATATTTGCCCTGAAGGATTTTTTTGTTATCATTTAAACAAAATACTGAATTTAGTGCTAAATCATCTTATCACTACGCTGATATACGAGTTTAGTGCTAGATCACATCTGCATGGAGAAAAAGAAGATAAACATCAATATGAAATAGAAACAATTTCAACAAACTACAGCAGGCTACAATGTCTCCACAACATGTGTCTATGTGTTTGCCCATTATGGAGAACTTTGGAAAACTGTTCTCCCCTCCCCCCAATGCTGTGCAACACTTTAAACAGACGTTTGGCTTAACAATAAACCATAAAAGGAGAGCCAGGGATCTGAAGAGGGTGGGCTCAAAGGAAGGAGGGCTGTGGTGCAGATCAAGGTGTGTCAGATTGAAGGACCAGCATTGAAAAGAACTGCAGTCTCAGTGTGATCACCTAATCGGACAGAAACATAAAATAGGCTGACTTACTGTCATTTGGCTTGCCGGTGTACTTGCAGATTTGTAGGGAATCTTCCCCCTTGCCCTCCCCAAAAAATGGTCACTGTTCCCCCCCCCCGGGAAGGGAGCTAATAAAAGGATTTTTTTTGCTTCCATTTTTAAAAAATTTTTCTCCTTATAAAGGTAGAGTAGGGTAAGGGGCAGCTGGGGTAAGGGTGCACTTGGAGGGGATGGATTTGAATGGACACATTACAAATCAATATTTTTCATAGTATTTCTATACATTTTCTTCTAGAAATAGTTCCACATATCATAAAGAAATACAAACTGGGTGCAAGAGGGAAAATCAAATTTGGACAGATATTTTGTAATTCTAATTGTTAATTCTGTAGCTCAGAGGTCCCCAACCCCCCTGGTCCGTGGCCTGGTGCCGGTCTGTGGCCTGAGCCAGACCGGACCACTGAGGCAAACTGCCCACCCTCCCTGCACACACTCAGCCCCGCACAGTCCATTTGTGGCTGTGCACAAGCTCCAGCATACCCGTGCTAGCACCGTGCCATCATTTGTGCATGAACACGTGCACCCAGACAAGTGCAGCACTGCTGTTTGAGCATACACGTGCTCATGAGCAAACGGCGGCGCAACACTCGCATGGCCGCACGCACCTGTGCGAGAGAGAGAGAGCTTGTTCATGGATGTGTGGGCATGGGGGGTGCCCCACCATCCCCAGTTGGTCCGTGGATCAAAAAAGATTGGGGACCACTGATGTAGCTGATAGTATTTATCCATCATTTATACTATCTCTTCTGCAGCCATACAGGTAACTGTTTATCAGTCTACTATTCTATTTACCTTGTAACAATGTATATAATTGTGACTAAATTTTCCGGTGGTCTTTTTTCTTTTTTTCATCCAGCCAATCTGACAGTATGGCCATTTCTGCGGTTTCAAGTATTTTTCCTATTACAGTGGTGCCTCGCTTGACGATGTTAATTCGTTCCAACGAAATCGCTGTAGAGTGAAAACATCATCAAACGAAATTTTAAAAAAACCATTGAAACTTATTAAAACCCGGTTAATGCGTTCCAGTGGGCTGAATACCTGCTCATCCAGCGAAGATCCTTCATACGGCAGCCATTTTCTGTGCCTGTATAGCGAAGAATCTGTCCTAGAAAACAGCGGGGGGGCATTTTGAAAGCCGGTGGCCATTTTGAAACCCGACGATCAGCTGTTTGCTGATTGTCGTAAAGCGAAAAATCAGTTCCTGAAACATGGAACTGATCAACATGAAATGAAATTCCCCCATTTAAAACATCGTTTTGCGAGCGCAAAAGCGAGCGCAAAACCATCGACGTAATGTGGATTCATCGTAGAGCGGGGTAATCGTCCAGCAGGGCATGACTGTACTTCATATATTTGCGGTGTTCTAGATTCCTTCCAAATATTAGTGCTGAGGCTCCAACACTTTGGCCATCCGATGAGAAGAAAAGACTCCCTGGAAAAGACCCTGATGTTGGGAAAGTGTGAAGGCAAGAGGAGAAGAGGACGACAGTGGATGAGATGGTTGGACAGTGTCACCGAAGATACCAATATGAATTTGACCAAACTCCGGGAGGCAGTGGAAGACAGGAGGGCCTGGCGTGCTCTGGTCCATGGAGTCGGACAGAACTTAACAACTAAACAAGAACCACAACAACAAGATTCGTTCCAGTATTTCGCAAAAACTATTCTTGCTGCTGTTATAATATGAATAGTTAAATATAATTTTTCAGAATCTAGAATATTTGGCAAGATATTTAATAGGAATAGTTCTGGCATCATTGGTATTGAAGTTTTCAATTTAAAAAATTGTATAGTAGGAGTGGCAGTCACAAAAGGCCTGCTCTCACCACTGCATTTTCCACAGGTGTTTGACTTACATAGACTATTCTCGTTACACACACTTGTTCTTCAAATCATCTACCTTTGTGAGGTGGGAGATATTAGAGAAAGAATTACGTGCATGGATGTCTGTTTTCTTCCATGGGGGTTTATGTTGGGGCATGGTGGGTGGCTCTAGAACTACATACTGTTGAGATAATAGCAGTCTTCTTTGGGAGGGGGCTTTTACAGCCTATTGTGACTGTCCTTTGTCACTAACTTGATTGATAAAGTTCTTTCCCCCCCCCTCGTTTCTGTTAGCGGAGGCAAGGCCCCACACACTCTCCAGTTTCTTTGCCTTCTTCCATTGTCTTTGTTGTTGATAGCCTTTTTCTTGCTTTCTCTGATCACCAACCAAGAAACAAGCATGGTGGTTTCTCCCTGTGGTGGAGACTCCATTTTTCTTTTTCTGTCTTTCTGACTGTAACTTCAAATGGTAACTGTATGTAAAGATACCCTTTCTCTACTTTAAATGCTTCTGGAGTACTTTTATCATACAAACTGCTAGTTTGCATGCAAAAGAAACCAAGGGGAGGCTGATGAGACTGGGCTATCTTTCATTGTTTCTGTGTTGTTGTTTTCTTCCTTATACTTATACTTTGCTAACTAAAAGGAATAAACAAAATCCCCCAATATATACTGTGTAGATTTTGAGTGAATAGGCCTAAGCATCTGGGGAGAGTTACCACTTGGATGAAAACTGAATCTCCAAGTGAGCAACTTACTGAAATCAATGAAATTGCTGCTCATTAAAAAGGTGCTGATTGCATTCATGGGCCTGATCACACAATTAGACACACACCCAGAACCGCAACCAACACCTTGTTAATAAGCAGCAAACACTCACACAATTGGTCTTAACAAGCATAAATTGGCAACAGGATTCTGGCCGTATGTCAGGATATTTTAAACACAAATGCACTTCACATTCTGTAATGGACTTCTCTGCTCATCGCACTCTTAACTCATAGCACTCTAGTATGTCAAACATACAATCTGAGACTTGCTGACATGGTTTGTGAGTGTAATTTTATTTCCTAGTTTATCTCTCTGCATTAAGTGTGCAATTGTGTATTTATATTCTTTAACCTGGTCACGTTGCTGAAGTTCCTGTATAATTTGGAAGGACAGAGCATGGGAGGGGAAAGGATATTGTTTCTGTGATCCAGCACAGCTTCCAGTGGGTGAGCCTTTTCAGAACTTGTTAAACTTAACCCCACCCCTCAGGGCAGTCCTGCTTTTTATTTATATGTCTCTGGTCCAACTGAGTTCAGATGAAGTGCTGTGTGTGCATGTGTGGAGATGAGTTGGAGTCATGAGGCTGGGCTGCTCCGAGTGGTTTTAATCAGCAACCCATTACGGAAGAATAGAAAACGTCTGACAGAGCTAAGAACTGTGTGAGTAAACACAACGTTGAACTCCAAACACCAGAGAGAAAGGGGCAGGGGAGGGAATATCCAGTGGAGGGAAAAAGTAGCCTTCCAGCGTCGTTAAAACCCAGATAAATTCTCAGTAAGGGAGGGCTTTGTATGTTTGCTGACAGGAAAAAGGCAATTTAAAAGATCTGGAATGAAGGAAATGGTATTTAAAAAAAAAAAACCCAACCAGAATGGGATCTGAAAATGCAAAAGGGCTAGAAAAGAAACCTCTGCAAGAAAATCTTTGGCAGTGTTGGGCTGTGCAAGCCACATAATAATTTTTGAACGATTGCCTTCCGGAATACAATTGTTGAGTTGGTGTTTCTGTGGCTGTGATGGAGTAGAATTTTTTTTTCCAGTCAGTAAGAATGTCTTCTGCTGATGATGATCACGGGATGCTTAAGTTTGTTCCTTCACTCGCCCCTTCCTTTTCAACTTTCTTTTGTACAGATTGGGGATTGCGTCTTGAAGGACTGTTTCTGCTTGAGTGCTTTCTGCTCTGGACACCTATAATGTCTTGCCAACTAATGCCATGGGATTGCTGAGGTTGAGAAACGGCAGAGAGGATTTGAATTCTCTGTGGAAAAATACACTTCTGCCCCATAATTTCATGCTGAGGAAAAGTAGGTACTGTGACTGTTCTTGCAATGTGGAAACGGGACAGAATTAGAAACCTGAGGTGGCCATGGCTTGCCGGCAGATCCTGCCTGGCCGGCGGTGGTGTCGACTTCGCCCGTTCCTGGTGCTGCTGGCCCTGGCTGCTTGTCTTTTCTACCAGACCTTGACACCTTTAAGAACAAGGAGGTACCTTTCAGCACTCAGCAACGGAGTTCCACCAAGCCCCGGGGCCGATGTGTGGCATGGGATGTACAAAAAAATATCTGCAAGGCAAATCCGTTGTCTCCTTCCCTCAAGCAACCTACGAGTACAGAAGGAGGTAAGAAAGGCTACCAGGATAGCATGAAAAACTGACTGAGAAGCTGGAGGAACGTGCCTAGCAGGCACTGCTAAAATTAACATTCAGATAAGCTTAGATGGCTCTCCTTTCCAGCTAATGTGCATCAGTGAATAATAAAATGGTGTGGCTGAATCCTTAAGCGTAATTACACTACCCATATCAGGTATAGGACAAGTATAAGTTGGGGGTGGCACACAGTTGTCTGGAGTCCACCACCCCCCCATTTTGTTTTGTTTTGTTTTCAGCCAGCCCCTAAACTCTACATTACCCAACACAAATAGTGAATTCTTGTTCCCAGGAGTGTTGAGCAGTGGTGATTCCCCTTTTAAATATTGCAGATTTCAGCCACCACACTGAAAAAAAAACCCACAATTTTTCAGTCATTTCTACTTTTGTCTTGTCAGAATATTGGCATTTCTGATAGTCTGTGCAATGTAGAAAATTGTTCCTTGGACCTTCTGAAGGTGTTCACATTTGGTCAAAGTGACATTTCCCTAGCATGAAATATAAAAAGCTTATTGGAAGAAAATATTTATATAGAAAGGGAGGTATAGAGAAAAACATATAATGGTGGGGCATGGAGGGGAAAAGTATTAAAACCATCATAGCATCCTAACCTCTGCTGAAATTGTGTTCAGTTATGCATCTGTTACTCTAAATGGCATAACAAATAATCCACGGTTCCCTGGTTAAAACATTGCTGCCCAACAAACACACAATAGATCTGTGTTTATTACCTTGTGTGACTTTCAAGAGTTAAGATTTCAAGTAACCTGAAATATTTCAACAAGAAAAGGGATTGAATACAAGTTGTCTGGCACATATAATGAAGGAAATAGTAGTTCTCACAGAGCAAATTGTGTGGAGGTTTGTCCTGTTCTTGGCCACTGAAACTATAAAACATCTTCCTCAACCCTTTAGCAACCACTGTCCATACATTTTCAATGTTTCCCAACCCCCATAAACTTGAGGGCTTCTGTGATGGCATTTGTTGGCCAACAATTTAGAGTCTTCTTAGTAAATTCAAATTAAGTTTTTTTGCAATCTGATATATTTGCATTCTAAGCAAGTCCCATTATATTCAGTGGGACTCACTCCTTAACAAGGATGCTTAGGACTGCAGCTTTCACTTTTCTTTGACCCTGCCATGAAACCTTCAGTCTGCTAACTTGCACTTTCTGCAGAGATATGCATGGATGACACCATGATAGGTTCGTTTACAGTATGCTCTCCAGATTTGCCCTCTGTCAGATTCGGCCAGAGTTATGGAGAAAAAAATGATATGCACCTGCACAATATGAAAGTTCAGATTATCAGGCTTCCAAATTTCTGACAGAAGCTGGTTTCTGGGCTTCTGCAGCAGACCTGTGGAAGCAAAATATCTTGCATATATGCGCACTGAAAATGCTGTAAAAAATCATAGAAGCCTGATTGGCCATTTATCTAAAATCTGGTGCCACATTTGGATGGAATTTGAATTCGAGCCTCTTTTCCCCTGCCTGGAACAACTGAGCTTTTAGCATAATATCAGGGACCCGGTAGGAGAAGATAACTAAAGCTTTTCTTCCCCAGCTCAGTCTGTCACCCACTTTCTAGTTATTCACTTTCAGTCCCTCATGGCCTGGGATTACTTTAGCCCAGTGGTACCCAAACGTGGGTACCAAGGTGTTCCTGGAGTACAGCTCCCCAGAAATCCCTGCCAATACAGCTGGTGGTGAAGGCTTCTGGGATTTGTAGTCCAAGAACACATGGGTTACCCAACATTGGGAACCACTGTTTGGTCAAACTAGAGTGAAATGGTGCTGCTTCCAAGACATCTGGAACAGACTAGCATGGGTTAATGGGGACAGACATAATTGTATGATTGGCTACGGTATTCTTTGTGGCTCTGGGAGGCCTCTGTAGGACACAGTCGGTGCAAGTCAAAGTATCTCGAACACCTGCAGGAGAAGGAGACTGAATGTTGTCCATCACCTTGAGTCAAAGGGCTTACGAGTTCGTAATTTATTTACTCCTTCGTTACATTTCCTTCCTGCCTTCTTCAAAATAGCTCAGGGTGTCAAACACCTTCCTCTCTCCAACAGCAACACCTTTACCCTCACAAGAACTTTGTAGGGCAGGGCAAGCTGGGGAAAGATGCTAAGCAGTATTATGGCTAAGGGAGGGTTTCAACAAGCCTAAAGCCAACACTCCATCTGGGATAAATCCAACACACAGGCTGCAGTGCCAAACTGCTGTTACACAAGGCATGCGTTCTTATTATATGTGCCACATGTCTGCACTGTCATTATACTAGGTGTGCAATCATTGCTACCCATTTGAGGTATCCGTAGCCTCGTTCTAGTAATGCAAATGATGGATTTACATGCTCCGTGGCTTAGCCTGTGCGCCAGAGGAGTGGAGAATCCAACCCAGTTTTCAATTGCACAACCAGTTGTACAAGTGCTAGTGTGCCCAAAAATCCTAAGAACAAATGCTCTACTTCTTGTGCCCCTGGGAAAAAAACCAGGAAGAATTCTGCTAGTCCAGTTTTCCTTTGCTAAGGTTATATTGGATATTGTCTTTATTTACTGTATTTTTAATTCTGCTTTCCAGACAATTATGATTTTTCCTTCCATGGCTTAATTCTAAGAAAGGCAAGTCCCTTCTTCCTCTTCAGTTCTAATGTGACCCCACAAAAATGGGGGCAGGGGGCTTCGTTTGCTCATGCCAAAGGTTTTGCATTGCAGCCCACACTTCATGGCGTGTAGGACTGAGGAAATGGCATTTTCTTTTACAGAGTATGTATGGGAGGGAGAGAAACTGAATGCAAGTAGCAAACCTTTGGTGAACTCTTAAAGGAGATTTACCTCTGTCCTTTGTGCTCTGACCTGCCACTCTGAAGACATTAATGGGTATTAAATTGTGGTTCTTCTAACATAACCTTGTGGAAAAGCTTTAGAGTGAATATTCTGTAAGGATCGCTGAAATGGGGTTAGGGATTTTATGGAGTTAAGACACAGAGATCATATGATAGAGGACTGGGGGTTAATTAGTGTGGCTTCTTGTCCTCAAATAGCTCTTGTGAGTCCATGTAGATCCGTGGTATTTTAAGGCTACATGTAAGGCCATTTTCAGATTCATTAAACAGCCTTTTGGAAAGTTACCAAAAGGACAAGAAGAAAAATCAAAGTAATCTTCATGGCAGTGATCCAGATATATGTCCATGGGTCTGAAGTATGTTGCACTTTGGCTGGATTGCACCCCAGATTTCTCATATTCCCCTATTTGTTTATAAATGCTTCCTGCCAGGAACTATGATGTGTCCTTTAGTTATCCGCTTCACAGCTGTGCTGTAGTCTTCTGCTGAAATATTTAAACATGGGTCATTTGTTCGATGGTAGTTTACAGAGTGTACTTATGACAAGACTAGCTATTTTTATGGTAAGAGTTGTGTTTGGCATTGACACAACCGCTTCTCTTTCTGTTATGTTCCCAGAAAAACAAATGTTCCTATGAAATATGTGAATGTCCTCTGTCATTTGTTTCGTTGCAGACAATACCATGCCATAACTATAAATAAAAGATTCCCTGATTATAGGGCAGCTTACCTCTAATGAATCTCTCTAATCTAGATTCTTTTTCTCACGATTGGGTTTTGACAATTCAGAGGACCCTTTTTCTGGTTTGCTTAACAACTGATAGGTTATGACTGAGTGATGTAGTTGAAAGGAGTACATATCATAATCACACTATAGAACATGTATGTGTTTATATAGGTGTGGCAGTTCTTAGTGTTGTGCTTTTTTCACATCTTTCAGAAATGTGTAAGATGGTCATTGTATTTTTGCCATGGCCAATATTCGTGAGGACTTGAACAAGATCTCCCAAATCCCATTCTCCTGCACTAACCACTGTACCACACCAACTCTCCTATCATCCTGTATATAAAATAATGAAGCCAAGAGGTTTTGAGACTTCAGTACTAGTGTGTCTCCTTCAGCACTATCCTTCCTGCCAATTCAAGGTACACTTGACTGACCACAGGAGTTAATTCAGCCCATTCTTTTTCACCACTATGTCAACAGTCAAAGTACATCTCTTTGATTAGAGTCACCTGCTCTATATTTAGGCAGTGACCAACTAGAAGAGTCTGTGTAGTATTCAAGTCATTTTCAATCGAAAGCCCACTCCTTCCTCTAAAAAAAATATAAGTAACAGAGAAAGCTAACCATTTCAAAGTAGAAAGTAAAAACAAAAACAGGAGCTACTGTCTAACAGCATAGGAAGCATCTAAGCTTTGAAGTTAAGTAAACCAGACCTAAGAAAAGTGTGGGGTGTGCGCTCCTGTGGGAGAGTCTGTGTAAAAGTGATTTTCAAATAACAAGAACAAAATATACACAGGAGACTTCGTTAGCAGGTAATTTCTAGCATTCTAAATAACTGATCTAACTGGGCTTTACTTGTGTGGACCTGTTTCCACTGTGCTCTTTGGCTTTTAGACAGCTTCCGCCTGACTCTTGACCCCAGTGGCCATTCTAAATAACTGATCTAACTGGGGTTTACCTGTGTGGACCTGTTTCCACTGTGCCAGCTTCCGCCTGACTCTTGACCCCAGTGGAAGTAAGACAGCAAGTGTCTACTGTTGCTTTTCTTGCTATTCTTGAGGGCCACCATATGTTTAACTGGCTTCCCGGAACTTCCCCTGCCATTCACAAAATGTCCGGCTGGCGCACAGTTGGCAGGAGTGGCCTCTAATCATTCTCCAGCAGTGCATCCACTCCCATGAAATAGTTGCTTTCCCCCAATCCTAAATAGGTGTGCTCAGTGTGGTGTGGCCACATGTCCTGATTTTTAAAGAAGAGTCCTCTGTTTAAAGGGTGGTCAGGGTACTGACCTTTCTATCAAAGGCTATGCAGTGTACATCTGGTTTAGAGATGAAGAACCATAAGAAAGAAGAAGAAGGGACTCCAGCTTTTTCCATCAATAGTTAGCAGCTG